AAATGGAATTTATTTGTAAAGCCTCAAAACATAACTAATGAACAGAGGAAATGTTAGTTTAGTGCCAGGAATGCCTACATTGTTCATTCTGGACCCTATTTTGAAATTGGAATATTTTGAACTTTGTGTAAATTGGCCAAATTAACAATTTCCGATCACTTTATTTTGTAGTTGAAACAGTTGACTTGGCGATTTCTTGTGCTCAATCGATAGAATAGAAGTAATACTAGTGAAATAGCTAAGAATTTGGTTGATTGGAATAATGTAATTGGCCTAAAATGGGAGTCAAAGTCGGCAAAATCGCCGATTCGTAAATATCGTTGACACGTCAAAATTCGCAAGAGCATAAGTTCGTCAATTTTCCACCAAATTTCGTACTTTTTGTTTTATTACCTTCACAAAAAGATTCTCTACGATTTCATAAGAAAAAATAACAAATTTTTTTTTTGAAAATTCTTGGACACTGGTGCGTGACTCCAGATTTGGGCCTTGGACCCTGAAAGGGTTAAAAGAGATAAATTCCATAAAAATTATAGGACCTTTTTATGTCAAATACTTTCTCATAAAATTTAACTATATTAACCGAGAAATTCAAAGATTTTTTTTCCTTACTTTTACAATCAACAAATCACCATAAAACATCTACAGTGGACCCTCGGTTTTTGTCATTAATTATTTTATTTATTAACACACTGGCCGATTCCCACCAAGGCAGGATGGCCCGAAAAAGAAAAACTTTCACCATCATTCACTCCATCACTGTCTTGCCAGAAGGGTGCTTTACACTACAGTTTTTAAACTGCAACATTAACACCCCTCCTTCAGAGTGCAAGCACTGTACTTCCCATCTCCAGGACTCAAGTCTGGCCTGCCAGTTTCCCTGAATCCCTTCATAAATGTTACTTTGCTCACACTCCAACAGCACGTCAAGTATTAAAAACCATTTGTCTCCATTCACTCCTATCAAACACGCTCACGCATGCCCGCTGGAAGTCCTAGCCCCTCGCACACAAAACCTCCTTTGCCCCCTCCCTCCAACCTTTCATAGGCTGACCCCTATCCCGCCTTCCTTCCACTACAGACTGATACACTCTTGAAGTCATTCTGTTTCGCTCCATTCTCTCCACATGTCCAAACCACCTCAACAACCCTTCCTCAGCCCTCTGGACAACAGTTTTGGTAATCCCACACCTCCTCCTAACTTCCAAACTACGAATTCTCTGCATTATATTCACACCACACATTGCCCTCAGACATGACATCTCCACTGCCTCCAGCCTTCTCCTCGCTGCAACATTCATCACCCATGCTTCACACCCACATAAGAGCGTTGGTAAAATTATACTCTCATACATTCCCCTCTTTGCCTCCAAGGACAAAGTTCTTTGTCTCCACAGACTCCTAAGTGCACCGCTCACCCTTTTCCCCTCATCAATTCTATGATTCACCTCATCTTTCATAGACCCATCCGCTGACACGTCCACTCCCAAATATCTGAATACATTCACCTCCTCCATACTCTCCCTCCAATCTGATATCCAATCTTTCATCACCTAATCTTTTTGTTATCCTCATAACCTTACTCTTTCCTGTATTCACTTTTAATTTTCTTCTTTTACATACCCTACCAAATTCATCCACCAACCTCTGCAACTTCTCTTCAGAATCTCCCAAGAGCACAGTGTCATCAGCAAAGAGCAACTGTGACAACTCCCACTTTATGTGTGATTCTTTATCTTTTAATTCCACGCCTCTTGTCAAGACCCTCGCATTTACTTCTCTTACAACCCCATCTATTAATATATTAAACAACCATGGTGACATCACACATCCTTGTCTAAGGCCTACTTTTACTGGGAAATAATCTCCCTCTTTCCTACATACTCTAACTTGAGCCTCACTATCCTCGTAAAAACTCTTCACTGCTTTCAGTAACCTACCTCCTACACCATACACCTGCAACATCTGCCACATTGCCCCCCTATCCACCCTGTCATACGCCTTTTCCAAATCTATAAATGCCACAAAAACCTCTTTAGCCTTATCTAAATACTGTTCACTTATATGTCATTAATTCGTTCTAGAAAGTCTGATGAAAACCGAATTCGATGAAAACTGAAGCAATATTTCCCTTAAGAAATAATGTAAATCCAATTAATCTGTTCCAGACACCCAAAAATATTAACAAAAAATAATTTGTATAGAGAATAACTATAGTTTTACATACAGAAAACAATGAGAAATAAATATAAAGCACTAATGAAATGGATAAATGAACATTGAAATCACTTTTACCTTCACTGAAGGTAAAAGCGATTTAAATGGAGGAGAGGTTATCTCTACCACCATCACTACCACCCTCTACCACCATCACTACCACCCTCTACCACCATCATTACCACCATCATTACCACCACCGCTACCACCACTACCACCATCACTACCACCACTCTACCACCATCACTACCACCATCACTACCACCCTCTACCACCATTGCTGCCACCTTCTACCGACGAGAAACAAAGCCAGACTTGCTCAGTATGCGTAAGATGCTTTGTGTGGGCGCGAGCGGACACGTCGGTATGGCAGACCACTGTCAGCTCGATGAAAACCGAGGTGATGAATGAAAACTGGGACAAATTTTGATGAAAAAAGTCGTCGAAAACCAATTTCGACAAAAACCATGGCAAACGAAAACTGAGGTCCCACTGTACTTTACAAATTAATGGTTTTCATTAGCAATTTCACCTCAATGGCCAGGTACTGGCACTGCGAGAAGCTATTTCAGCACTGCCTGTTGATAAAACATTACTATTTCTGAATTTATCACGGTTGTACGTCATTACAGGAAGTGGGGAAAATTGGTAAGTGCTAAAAAAAATTATGCAAAATGTGAAAATTGGAGCGACTGTGTTTATTCAGCACCTGATTATGTGTTCATGACCAGATGCAAAAATTTGGAAATTTTTCTGGTCGTGAACCGATTTGTTCGTGTTTGGAAGCATTTGGTTTGGAAGCAGAGGTTCCACTGTACCCGGGAAAAAAGGAATTGTAATTCTAATCACTTACGTGGGCTACCATTTGATTCAAAACAAATGGTAAGAAGTGATCTACCCAACAACCTCGCCTGATCAGTAAGCAAGCTTAATGTTAGAAATTCAATTACATGTAACTAAATCATGAATTCACTTATACTGAGCTGATTCTTTTTTGTTTACAAGTAACTGTTGTTATTCTCTCCATGGGGAAGTGGAAAAGAATTCTTCCTCAGTAAGTGGTGCGTGTTGTAAGAGGCGACTAAAATGCAGGGAGTGAAGGGCTAGTAACCTCTTCTCCTGTGTACATTATTAAAGTTAAAAAGAAAAACTTTCATTTTTTTTAGGGGAGGGGGGGCACCTTGCTTTGGTGGGATGTGGTCGGTTTATTGAAAGAACTGTTATTATTTATGATGAATGATTGCCTTTATCCCACAAATAAAAGGAAAGGGGAGAGGGGGCAGGGGGAAGGAGGGGCAGGGGAGGGAGTGGGGCAGGGGGAGGGAGGGGGGGCAGGGGAGGAGGGGGGCAGGGGGAGGAAGGGGGCAGGGGGGAGGGGGGCAGGGGAGGGAGGGGGGCAGGGGAGGGAGGGGGGCAGGGGAGGGAGGGGGGCAGGGGAGGGAAGGAGGCAGAGGAGGGAAGGAGGCAGGGGAGGGAGGGGGGCAGGGGAGGGAGGGGGGTTAGGGGAGGGAGGGGGGCAGGGGAGGGAGGGGGGCAGGGGAGGGAGGGGGGCAGGGGAGGGAGGGGGGCAGGGGAGGGAGGGGGGCAGGGAGGGAGGGGGGCAGGGAGGGAGGGGGGGCAGGGGAGGGAGGGGGGCAGGGAGGGAGGGGGGCAGGGGAGGGAGGGGGCAGGGGAGGGTGGGGGCAGGGGAGGGAGGGGGCAGGGGAGGGGGGGGGGGCAGGGGAGGGAGGGGGGGTCAGGGGGGGGAGGGGGGGCAGGGGAGGGAGGGGTGGGAGGGGAGGGGTAGGGGGGCAGGGGGAGGGAGGGGGGGCAGGGGAGGGAGGGGGGCAGGGGAGGAGGGCAGGGGAGGGAGGAGGCAGGGGAGGGAAGGAGGCAGGGGAGGGAGGGGGCAGGGGGGGAGGGGGGGCAGGGGAGGGAGGGGGGGCAGGGGAGGGAGGGGCAGGGAGGGAGGGGGCAGGGGAGGGAGGGGGGCAGGGGAGGGAGGGGGCAGGGGTAGGGAGGGGGGCCAGGGGAGGGAGGGGGCAGGGGAGGGAGGGGGCAGGGGGAGGGGGGGGGTTGCAGGGGAGAAGTGTGTGTAATTCATTGAATCAAGAGCCTATCACTGCATCTAGGAACCTCCCTTGAGGAATATAATTACCCATTTTTGTGTGTAGCCAAGCCATTGGGCTAACTGTTTCAGAGGTCCTCCATTAGTATTTATCTTACTAAACAGTTGGCCTCAATGAAGATTAAGACCATATACTAATGAGATTATATACCACATATAAAACTTGATATTTACTCATGTTTAAGGCATCATGCTATCCACGCACAATATGCTAGCTCAAGCTGTACATTGGGCAGTATGCTTTTGATTAAAGATGATGGAATATATCAATACAGCATTATCTGGTACTCCACATCACTGCATTACTTGAATCAATGTTTCAAGTTGGACATAGTAAGGCATATTACATTATGCTGCAGAATGAGAAATGACATGAAATAATCAATATGAGAAAATGTACTCTTATTATATTTTTCCAAAGCAAAGCATTCATGCATAAATAAAACAAACTAGTTATTTAACCATGAATGTATTGCACTAAAATTAAAAAGAATCCTCTCCTGAATACTATTTTAGCTTTGACTAATTCTTATACATCTGGAGCTAATTTATTAAACATGAATGAATCCTGTTAAAACGATCACAACTGCTTGCTTTCATTTTTCTTCATTTTTTGTAATATATGTATAGTTAAGACATTAACATTTAAGCAGAATAAAATATGACATTATCTCACCCGTCCTGTTTGAGTTATGGTATAGAGCACCCCTTCTGTTATGGAAGAAGCCTTTGTGCCAGTCAACTCCAGCCCAAGATGCAGTCCACTTTCATGTATATGTACAAGCTTCCTAATACCTGCCACCTGAAAACAAAACAAGAAAATGTCATATACTTTTTTCACAACGATAAATTTCGAAGGATGTAACACATGGCCCCCTAGTTACAGTTGAAAATAGAAGCCAAAGGAGTACTGCCATAGATGCCATAATTTTCTGGCCTCTATTTTGAAATCCATCACCCTATCTGTGTGTACCTGACACTACTCCCTATGCCATCATATCTATGAGAAGGCTTGCCTCAGGAAGTTTCTCCTCAAGTATCTTCAGTGTTCAAAACAAGAGCACAAGACTGTTTTAGGTAATTCACATATTATACTGGTCATATTTAACAACAAATTTTGTTGAAAATAAGAAAAAGTTTTGGAGTGAGATTAACAAGTTAAGGAAGCCTAGAGAACAAATGGATTTGTCAGTTAAAAATAGGAGAGGAGAGTTATTAAATGGAGAGTTAGAGGTATTGGGAAGATGGAGGGAATATTTTGAGGAATTGTTAAATGTTGATGAAGATAGGGAAGCTGTGATTTCGTGTATAGGGCAAGGAGGAAAACATTTTGTAGGGTGGGGAAGAGTCATTGTGATGTGGGGGAAGTTCGTAAAGGTAGGTAAAAAAAAGGGGGGTAAGGCAGCCAGGATTGATGGGATAAAGATAGAAATGTTAAAAGCAGGTGGGGATATAGTTTTGGAGTATTTTAGCCGCTAATTATTTAATAAATGTATGGAAGAGGGTAAGGTACCTAGGGATTGGCAGAGAGCATGCATAGTTCCTTTGTATAAAGGCAAAGGGGAAAAAAAGAGGAGTGCAAAAATTAATAGGGGGGAAGTCTGTTGAGTATACCTGTAGAATGTTGTAGAGTTATTATTGAAAGAATTAAGAGTAAGACTGAGAATAGGATAGCAGATGAACAAGGAGGCTTTAGGAAAGGTAGGGGGTGTGTGGACCAGGTGTTTACAGTGAAACATATAAGTGAGCAGTATTTAGATAAGGCTAAAGAGGTTTTTGTGGCATTTATGGATTTGGAAAAAGCATATGACAGGGTGGATAGGGGGGCAATGTGGCAGATGTTGCAGGTGTATGGTGTAGGATGTAGGTTACTGAAAGCAGTGAAGAGTTTTTTACGAGGATAGTGAGGCTCAAGTTAGAGTATGTAGGAAAGAGGGAGATTATTTCCCAGTAAAAGTAGGCCTTAGACAAGGATGTGTGATGTCACCATGGTTGTTTAATATATTTATAGATGGGGTTGTAAGAGAAGTAAATGCGAGGGCCTTGGCAAGAGGCGTGGAGTTAAAAGATAAAGAATCACACACAAAGTGGGAGTTGTCACAGTTGCTCTTTGCTGATGACACTGTGCTCTTAGGAGATTCTGAAGAGAAGTTGCAGAGGTTGGTGGATGAATTTGGTAGGGTATGCAAAAGAAGAAAATTGAAAGTGAATATAGGAAAGAGTAAGGTTATGAGGATAACAAAAAGATTAGGTGATGAAAGATTGGATATCAGATTGGAGGGAGTATGGAGGAGGCGAATGTATTCAGATATTTGGGAGTGGACGTGTCAGCGGATGGGTCTATGAAAGATGAGGTGAATCATAGAATTGATGAGGGGAAAAGGGTGAGCGGTGCACTTAGGAGTCTGTGGAGACAAAGAACTTTGTCCTTGGAGGCAAAGAGGGGAATGTATGAGAGTATAGTTTTACCAACGCTCTTATATGGGTGTGAATGTTGCAGCGAGGATAAGGTTGGAGGCAGTGGAGATGTCATGTCTGAGGGCAATGTGTGGTGTGAATATAATGCAGAGAATTCTTAGTTTGGAAGTTAGGAGGAGGTGCGGGATTACCAAAACTGTTGTCCAGAGGGCTAAGGAAGGGTTGTTGAGGTGGTTCGGACATGTAGAGAGAATGGAGCGAAACAGAATGACTTCAAGAGTGTATCAGTCTGCAGTGGAAGGAAGGCGGGGTAGGGGTCGGCCTAGGAAAGGTTGGAGGAATGGGGTAAAGGAGGTTTTGTGTGCGAGGGGCTAGGACTTCCAGCAGGTATGTGTGAGCGTGTTTGATAGGAGTGAATGGAGACAAATGGTTTTTAATACTTGACATGCTGTTGGAGTGTGAGCAAAGTAACATTTATGAAGGGATTCAGGGAAACCGGCAGGCCGGACTTGAGTCCTGGAGATGGGAAGTACAGTGCCTGCACTCTGAAGGAGGGGTGTTAATGTTGCAGTTTAAAAACTGTAGTGTAAAGCACCCTTCTGGCAAGACAGTGATGGAGTGAATGATGGTGAAAGTTTCTTTTTTGGGCCACCCTGCCTTGGTGGGAATCGGCCAGTGTGTTAATAATAAAAAAATATAATAATATTTGAAATTGCTTCTTATTTGTGGGGAATACTGGCACAGACAGAAAAAAGGATAGCCACAATCTTCAGGTCAAATGTGGAGTGGAGAAATTAGAGCAGACCACAGCTTAGCAAAGCAGAGTGAACAAAGCCAAAGACAACCAAGGTCAACATTTCTGCTAAATAACCATAAACATGGTAATGGTTTTTGTTTCTTCCTCTTTAAATATTAAACAAGACTTCAATTATAAAAAGAAACTGACAAAATGCAGAATAATAATGCACTCATACTGAAACAGTTAATTAATGCTAACACTTGAGTCCTGGAAATGGGAAGTACAATGCCTGCACTTTAAAGGAGATGTTTGGGATATTGGCAGTTTGGAGGGTTATGTTGTGTATCTTTATATGTATATGCTTCTAAACTGTTGTATTCTGAGCACCTCTGCAAAAACAGTGATTATGTGTGAGTGTGGTGAAAGTGTTGAATGATGATGAAAGCATTTTCTTTCTGGGGATTTTTTCTTTTTTAGGTCACCCTGCCTCGGTGGGAGACAGCCGACTTGTTGAGAAAAAAAAAAAAATGATACTGCAAGAATGAAGAAATTTTAGTAAGTCTCAAAAGTATATTGGCATTAGTTTATCATTAAACATTGGGAATATTTTTTTTTTTTAATTTCCCAGGAGGGATGGGGATATTTACAGTTTGGAGGGGCATCTGAACTGTAGTATTGGCATGCCTCTGACATGACAGTGATAAAGTAAATGATGGTGAAAGTGTTTCTTCTTCTTTGGGTCACCCTACCTCAGTGGGAGATGGCCGATGTGTTAAAAAAAAAAAAAAAAAATCTCATTCTAGTTGCTATTTATTCATTTCCCTTAACCCTTTCAGGGTCCAAGGCCCAAATCTGGAGTCACGCACCAGTGTCCAAGAATTTAAAAAAAAAAAATTTGTTATTTTTTCTTATGAAATCGTAGAGAATCTTTTTGTGAAGGTAATAAAACAAAAAGTACGAAATTTGGTGGAAAATTGACGAAATTATGCTCTCGCGAATTTTGATGTGTCAGCGATATTTACGAATCGGCGATTTTGCCGACTTTGACTCCCATTTTAGGCCAATTACATTATTCCAATCAACCAAATTCTTAGCTATTTCACTAGTATTACTTCTATTCTATCGATTGAGCACAAGAAATCGCCAAGTCAACTGTTTCAACTACAAAATAAAGTGATCGGAAATTGTTAATTTGGCCAATTTAACACAAAGTTCAAAATATTCCAATTTCAAAATAGGGTCCAGAATAAACAATGTAGGCATTCCTGGCACTAAACTAACATTTCCTCTGTTCATTAGTCATGTTTTGAGGCTTTACAAATAAATTCCATTTTGATTTTTTATTCACATAATGAATTTTTATTCACACCAAAAAATAGAAGATTTACTGCTATGCAATACTGTAATAATTGTATAAATATCATCACCATATTTGTGAATGTATATTAGACCCACCAGCTGACGTGTATTAGACGTGTGAGGTCGTTTGTTTACTCTTGAATATCGGCAAAAATTTAACATTTCCGCTACTTTGAGCTCAGTTTCAAGCCATTTCCAGTGCTAAAACCAATCAAAATCATCTCTATTTCTGTAATATGTCTTCCATTCTATCAAATGAGACCAAGAAATCGCAAATACAACTATAAAAAACATACGAAAAAACACTGCAAAGTTGCTGTTTTAATCAAAAAATCATGATTTCAGTTTTTTTCTCTCATTATACACAGTGTGCTGCAGGATCTGTTTTATGTGGTGCACACATACCACATAGATGTATTCTCTCATATCTAGGCCCAAATGTACCACTCACAGTTTATCAGAGTGAGCTGAGCTCATGGCGTAGATCTACGGTTTGGACACTCACCATAAAGCCGTAGATCTACGGGACGGACCCTGAAAGGGTTAATAGACAGAAAAAAGAGTTCTCATTGTAGCTTCATTTTTCATTAAGAGCATAATAAACCCTAGATATAATGAATCTCAATATAACAAACTTTTTAAATAATGGGCAAAATCCACTGGGTAAATTCTGCTTTTAATTCCTTTATTCTCAATGTTCACTTAAGTATATGGTAACTGTAAATTGTGTGCACATTATTATATTTGGTATAGAGTACGCAAGTTATTTTTCCCTATTTTTAAACATTCTGATTTAATGTACGCTTGGAGAATCCACCACCATTGGTGCATTATATACAGGGTTTATTATACCTTCAAATACACGCTACATATTTTCAAGACTGCAGACCATCCAAAACAGTAATCGTCTTCCCCCTGATGTTAGATGTCAGTACAGTAAGTTAGAAAAATAATCTTTAAAAAATTTCAAAAAAGGAGAAAGCCAATAATTTGATGTAAATGAGAGTTGAATCAATGTAACGTCACAAATACTTTTTGTCTGAAAGAGCAGAAAGCCTAAAGCCATATGAACAAGCTTCTTGTAAACAAACCATACCACGGGTGGGGTTTGAACCAGTGATCAATCTCAAAACTCCAGACTGTCCTAAGTCAGGCTTCTTGTAATTTACTTAGCATGTGTACTCCCAGTGCAGTGGCTAATACTTCCGTATTTAGTATTCTGAATGAAGTTAATGCAGTACCATTTACCCTCTGACTGTAGGTGATGTATATATATGTCTTACGAACCAGTGTCGGTGATGTATTAATAAGCCAAAATTCTAGCAGCTTCAAATCAAGAGGGAGAAAGCTGGTAGGCCCACATGTAAGAGAATGGGTCTGTGTGGTCAGTCTGAGCAGTATATAAAAAAAAATCCTGCAGCACGCAGTGCATATTAAAAAAATACAAACTCTGACAGTGTTTTTGGATTAAAATGCCGACTTTGAGGTTATATTTATCTCATTTGACAGAATGGAAGACATTTTACAGAAATAGAAATGATTTTGATTGGTTTCATGATGAAAAGGACCTTGAAATTGAGCTGACAGTAGTGGAAATGTTCGATTTCTGCCGATATTCAAGAGTGAACAAATGACGTCACAGTCCAGTAAGTGTCCAACTAGCCATTCTAATACACAGCCACAAATGGGTTGACATTATTTATACAATTATTACAATAATGCAGTAGTCTGCATAATAGTAAATCTTCTATTTTTTGTGTGAATAAAAATTACAAATAGAAAGCAAGAGTGTAATATAAAAGGGGCCTGGAGACTTGACTAATGAACAGAGAAAATGTTATTTTAGTGCCAGGAATGTCTGCATTGTTTATTCTGGACCCTATTTTGAAATTGTCATCTTTTTTTTAATTTGCTGGAAATTAGCCAAATTGCCAATTTCTGACCACTTTATTGGACAGTTGAAATCGGTAAATGGGAGGTTTCTTGTACTCAATCGATAGAACAATTGAAGTTCTAAAGAAATAGCTATGAGTTTGGTCGACTGGAACAATGGAATTGGCCGAAAATAGGGTTCAAAGTGGGCAAAATTGCCAATGCGTATATATCACTGAGATCACTAACTTCATAAGTGTAATTCCGTAAGTTTTCCACCAAATTTCGTACGTTTGGTGTCATTACCATCGGGAAAAGATTCTCTATCATTTCATATGATTTTTTTTTTTAATATTTTGCAACACACACACACACACTCTTCAGGATTTGGGGTCTCGACAGTCAAAGGGTTAAAACCTAATCCATTTCTTATATCAAATAAATACACTTACCTGAATAACCAAATGACTCGTAGATCCAGGGACTTTCTGTAGAATCACCTGGGAATTAGCTCCTGGATCTTCCAATCCGATAGAAGCCAAAGGCTGAGATGAGAAGGATGGTGATGCAGCAGTCAGTGGCAAGGTGAACACCAAGCCTAAAGAAAGCTCCACACATACCAGTGTCTTATCTATAGAAGAGCACCTATAAAAAATGTAAGTAGAATTTAAGTGAACATCAAGCCTAAAGAGAGCTCCACACATACCAGTAACTTATCTACAGAAGAGTACCTATCAAAAATGTAAACAGAACATATGATGAATGTTTCTAATTTTCACAATTATCAATGCAAGTTTTATTTTCAACAATAAAATAAGGAAAGTTGAGAAAGTTTGTAAGCTGCCATCCATTACTTTCTTTACCTATCACTAGTTCTATAAAATACATTAATACTTCCCAGCTGTTGGGTTGTTGCTTAACCCTTTCAGTGAGGGCCAGTGCTGGTCCTGTAGTATGATGCCATGAGCTCAGCTCACTCAGATAAGCTGTGAGTGGTAAATCTGGGCCTAGATATGAGAGAATGGGTCTATGCAGTAAGTGTACATCATATAAAAAAAAATCATGCAGCACACAGTGCAGTATGAGAGAAAAAACTTCGATTGTTTTTGGTTTAAAACAGTGACTGCGTGGTAAAAATGTATATCAATGCATGTTTGGCCCAGTCACTCCCCTTAATGCATTCGGCTTTGTTTACAATCCTCGGCATGACTTCTCATAACTTCTCTATTGTTTATAATGGCACCGAAGGGTAGGTGTTAACAATGAGTAAATTCAGTGAACAAGGTATGCTGATGGCAAAAATACCACTGGGGCACTTTAAATATTGTATATTACATTTAGGTGTGGGAGCCAGATGGGCTACACAGCTATACCTACTGGGCTACCTACACCTGACTTCCTACAAATAAATACTACTCACCTCACACCCTACATTAAGACTACAAAATATTTTAAGGCATGTAATGACTGCATTGTGTATATATTTTACTTTTTATTGCTTTTAATGCCTACTTCTACCTTTAGCTTAATATATGTTAGTGTAAACTTGTTATCTGGCATTTATATGCATTTATAAGTGAAAAAAATGAAAATAAGTTCTGCTTTATGGCAGCAGCCTGGAACCTAACCTGCTGTGTAAGTGGGGCCCTACTGTATACAGTAGATGTTTGGATGATTTACTCTTGTGGTCATACCCTCAGTGGGGAGTTTCCGGGGAAGGAACAAGGCAATAGATATACAGTGGAACCTCTGTTTTTGTGATTAATTAGTTCCAGAAAGTCTGACAAAAACTGAATTGTACGAAAACTGAAGCAATATTTCCCATAAGAAATAATGTAAATCCAATTAATCCGTTCCATACACCCAAAAATATTAACAAAATACATTTTATAGAGAAAAACTATAGTTTTACATACAGAAAACAATGAGAAATACATATAAATGACTAATGAAAGGGATAAAAGAACATTTAATATCACTTTTACCTTTAATGAAGACTCTTGTTGGCGTATGGAAGACGGCGACAAGGGAGAAGGGAGGAGAGGTTACTGTTTGGAAGGGAAATCCCCTTCCATAAGGACTTCAGGTATCAAGGCCCTATCCGGGGTTACTTCTCTTCTTGGTCTTTTACTGACACTAGGACTAGCTTAAGTGTCACTGTAAGCCTGTAGCACAAAAAATCTGTTCAGAGAGGTCTGTTTCTGGCATCTCTAAGATTTGCCTAAAATGGGACAAGGCATTGTCATTGAACATGTTGCAGACACGGCTTGCAACAGCTTTGTTAGGGTGATATTTCTCCACAAAACTTTGCAACTCACTCCACTTTGAACACGTCCTTAATCAATGATTTCAGAGATTTCGCATACATCCTGGCGAAAATTGGCCACCCATATGCCACTTTCTTTGACCCCATGGTGGCTTATTTAGCAGTTGCACTCAATAAACAAGCACAAAAAACAATGATTACGAAATGTTTTGGCTGAATGCGCAGGGTGATGCTTACTCAACGATAAACAATGGCAGACTGAGTCATTCAGCACTTGAGTGGCCAAGTGACGTGGGCAGGCGGGCAGACGCGTTCGGTACGGACCACTGTACGAAAACTGGGACAAAATTTTAATGGAAAAGGTCGCCGAAAACCAAATCCCATGAGAACTGGGGCGTACGAAAACCGAGGTTCCACTATAAAGACTGGTTTAACTCTCATGTCAATTATTAGATAAACAAATGAGACTTACTTGGTATTCTCATTCAACCAAGGTGCCACAATCGTTTCATGGTCCAGAGCAGCTCCAGATGATCGGTCAAGTGTTGTCACTACAAGTGATCCAGCAACAAGCTCAGCCAAGATTACCTCATTATCAGTAAGACTTACTGCTCGTTGTAATACACTAGAATAAAATATGCAAGTCCCTTATTACAAAAATTTATTTGATTATCAAAATTATAATTAAAATTATTTCAATATATTACACCTACGTCAAGGTAAAATTAATAAAATAATTTTTTATGATTGCAATCCCAACTTACCCAGGAGATGGGGAATGATCTAACTGTATTTCTTCAATAAGTGCAGCAGAAATGGCATCCCAGCTTCGCAAAAGATTACCCGCAACAGTAGTCACTTGTGGACCTTCGCTAGATAGCAGATCAACTTTTCCAGAGTCTGAGGTTTCCAAGACATGTCGCCATGCGATATCACCTGTTAATATGATATAGTATGCTAATATTATGCTGGAGCTTCACAAAAAAAAAAAAATGATACACTCACACCCTAACATACTAAAGACACGATAAAACAGTGATAATTTATGACTGTAAAGAAAAGGTGATTATATCAAGAATTGGCAAGTGAGAAACTACAAGTAATATGATCACTAAGAAAGGAGGAGAGTTTAGCCAAACAGACAATGTACACAATTACAGAAGGATTAACAAATAGAAGATTGTGTAGGCAACCTCTGTGCTTAAAACTTAACTGGTTCCAATAGAGCCAGTCTCACTTGCATAATTTTTAAGTCAAACAACTATTTACCATGGGTGCAATATTGTAAAAGGTTGTAAATACAAGGGGCAGTAAGACAAAGGTGGTCTTAAGTTGGGGTCACCTGTATTATATTTCATTTAGTGCTGAACTTGAGTACAGTATGTCATACAGCACAAAAAATAAGAGGTATGATTTTCATGGTTCCTATACTACTGGATTCAATCACACATGTCTGCACTATGAAGCCATGGTTACCAGTTTACTGGATAATCTGTAATTATATTTTTTTTCTAGATTTATTATCCTTGTAGGTCCCTGACAAAGCATCCAATGAATGTCACAACAGCAGCACTGAACATTTGCAGAATATGAAGCATTCCCAGATGCCCACCACAAAAATGGGTACTGCATAAAGTTCCCCTCTGTGTGTGTGTGTGTGTGTGTGTGTGTGTGTGTGTGTGTGTGTGTGTGTGTGTGTGTGTGTGTGTGTGTGTGTGTGTGTGTGTATGTGTGTGTGTGTGTATGTGTGTATGTGTGTGTGTGTGTGTGTGTGTGTGTGTGTGTGTGTGTGTGTGTGTGTATGTATGTGTGTATGTATGTGTGTATGTATGTATGTATGTATGTATGTATGTATGTATGTATGTATGTATGTATGTATGTATGTATGTATGTCCGGCCTGCCGGTTTCCCTGAATCCCTTCATAAATGTTACTTTGCTCACACTCCAACAGCACATCAAGTATTAAAAACCATTTGTCTCCATTCACTCCTATCAAACATGCTCATGCATGCCCGCTGGAAGACCAAGCCCCTCGCACACAAAACCTCTTTTACCCCCTCCCTCCAACCTTTCCTAGGCCGACTCCTACCCCGCCTTCCTTCCACTACAGACTGATACACTCTTGAAGTCATTCTGTTTCGCTCCATTCTCTCTACATGTCCGAACCACCTCAACCCTTCCTCAGCCCTCTGGACAACAGTTTTGGTAATCCCGCACCTCCTCCAAACTTCCAAACTACGAATTCTCTACATTATATTCACACCACACACTGCCCTCAGACATGACATCTCCACTGCCTCCAACCTTCTCCTTGCTGCAACATTCTTCACCCATGCTTCACACCCATATAAGAGCGTTGGTAAAACTATACTCTCATACATTCCCCTTTTTGACTCCAAGGACAAAGTTCTTGGTCTCCACAGACTCCTAAGTGCACCGCTCACCCTTTTCCCCTCATCAGTTCTATGATTCACCTCATCTTTCATAGACCCATCCACTGAAACATCCACTCCCAAATATCTGAATACATTCACCTCCTCCATACTCTGTCCCTCCAATCTGATATCCAATCTTTCATCACCTAATCTTTTTGTTATCCTCATAACCTTACTCTTTCTTGTATTCACTTTTAATTTTCTTCTTTTGCATACCCTACCAAATTCATCCACCAACCTCTGCAATTTCTCTTCAGAATCTCCCAAGAGCACAGTGTCATCAGCAAAGAGCAACTGTGACAACTCCCACTTTATGTGTGATTCTTTATCTTTTAATTCCATGCCTCTTGCCAAGACCCTTGCATTTATTTCTCTTACAACCCCATCTATAAATATATTAAACAACCACGGTGACATCACACATCCTTGTCTAAGGCCTACTTTTACTGGGAAATAATCTCCCTCTTTCCTACATACTCTAACTTGAGCCTCACTATCCTCGTAAAAACTCTTCACTGCTTTCAGTAACCTACCTCCTACACCATACACCTGCAACATCTGCCACATTGCCCCCCTATCCACCCTGTCATATGCTTTTTCCAAATCCATAAATGCCACAAAAACCTCTTTAGCCTTATCTAAATACTGTTCACTTATATGTTTCACTGTAAACACCTGGTCCACACACCCCCTACCTTTCCTAAAGCCTCCTTGTTCATCTGCTATCCTATTCTCCGTCTTACTCTTAATTCTTTCAATAATAACTCTACCATACACTTTACCAGGTATACTCAGCAGACTTATCCCCCTATAATTTTTGCACTCTCTTTTATCCCCTTTGCCTTTATACAAAGGAACTATGCATGCTCTCTGCCAATCCCTAGGTACCTTACCCTCTTCCATACATTTATTATATAATTGCACCAACAACTCCAAAACTATATCCCCACCTGCTTTTTAACATTTCTATCTTTATCCCATCAATCCCGGCTGCCTTACCCCTTTCATTTTACCTACTGCCTCACGAACTTCCCCCACACTCACAACTGGCTCTTCCTCACTCCTACAAGATGTTATTCCTCCTTGCCCTATACACGAAATCACAGCTTCCCTATCTTCATCAACATTTAACAATATATAATATATATATATATATATATATATATATATATATATATTATATATATATATATATATATATATATATATATTATATATATATATATATATATATATATATATTATAATATATATAATATATATATATATATATATATATATATATATATATATATATATAATATATATATATATATATAATATATATATATTATATATAATTATTATATAATATATAATATATATTTATATATTATATATTATATATATTATATATAAATATATATATAATATATTATATAATATATATATATATATATATAATTATATATATATATTATTATATATATATATATTATATATATTTATATATATATATATATATATATTAAGGAGGGGTGTTAATGTTGCAGTTTAAAAACTGTAGTGTAAAGCACCCTTCTGGCAAGACAGTGATGGAGTGAATGATGGTGAAAGTTTTTCTTTTTCGGGCCACCCTGCCTTGGTGGGAATCGGCCAGTGTGATAATAAAAAAAAATATATATATATATATATATATATATATATATATATATATATATATATATATATATATATATATATATATATATATATATATATATATATATATAATAGATATTATTGGGACTATGAACAAGTGGTATTGAATCAATAACAACACTGCGACTAGCCAAGGATTGGAACCCACATAGTTTTGGCCCTGCCTCGTGGTGAGCGAAAATCACACGACACCTTAACCCACTGAACCACACAATCCTACAAGAACCCATCACCCAGCTTGGCTGGCCACTTGGGAAAACAGAGTTTAGAAGTTAGAGCCATATAAAAATTTACATCAAAAGCAGTTATGGGCAAAAACAAACAGGTATACCTATTGTTGTGGTGCCCTTATTCGACTCCTGTGAATTCTGCAAAATGCTCAATGGTACCATGGCAACATTCATCAGATCCTATGTAATGGTCCCCTATGGATAATAAAAAAAAAAATTGGACTACCAATAAGGAGTTTTCCTCCTCCAACTTCATCTAGCTCATTCCACTTTTAAATACCCTTAGTGAAAGAATTCATAACATTCATATGACTTAAATGAGTGTTCAAATGCTACGTACAAAAATAATAATGTTTCTTCTTGTAAAAATCATGCAAATGATAGAGAGTTTGCGAGATGCCAACAGTATGCATAAATTTCAGGTAAAAATAAAAATACTACATGGTTGTGGAAATTTTTCACTTTAATGCAAGGTAATGACAGGTGGAACATACAGAAAAAGAAACTTTAAGGATGTGATTACAGTTATAATCAATAACGCTAAGTTAAAAATCTGAAGCATGACTGAAAAAAGAAAGGATAAATGGTCTAATTAATTATAGCAGTAAAAATGTATTAACTTGATGGTAATTAAAGAAGTTGTTACTTGAGAAATTTTAGTGAATTAATGTACTTAGATGATTGAACTATATAAATTCCCTAGTTTCAGTCATTAGTGTTGGCATATCCTTGGCCACATTTCCAGTACAGTTCATGCTCCTGAACTTTCTCACATTCCTGTACATGTTTAATTAAGTATGAGCTCCAAATTCAGGATCATCATCCCACTACTTGATAAGATTTTCCTCTGGACTTGAGAAATATAAAGTGGCCTAGTGACCAAATATAGCAACCCATATAATAATTACTAATAAACAATATTTATTCACCATTTTTAGTCGAAAGAGCAGCTAGTACATTCTGTGCAGTAGCCACAATAATGCGCCTTGCAGGCACGCTGGACTCGTCAAAAACAGCATGTTCAACGACACCCACATACTGCTGAACCCTGAAAGAACGCCAATGCTTTCTTGTATACATCGCAATTCTTCAAAATGAAACATGAGGAATGATGCAATACTGTACCTGTTAATGGTTCTGGTACTTACAGCTACAGTAAGGCTGCAACAAGTTATCAATGGAATCATACTCTAAGGTGTTATCTGTTAGTGGTTTTGGGGACTGACTTCCCCATGGCTCAGTCTCCAACCAGGCCTTCTAGGTTGAAGAGGAAATATTACAGAACTACATAGTAAGAAGCACATAGGAAAGTAAAGGCACATGTGTATGCTGGATTAGATTTTTACATATTTCAATCGTGCAGAAGCACTAAACTCCATGGGGGTCATATAGTGCCTGGGAAATAGGCAGCACTTGGGTTTAACCTAAGGAAGGAGAGGAAAAGTCCAGTTACTTGCATGAGGAGCCCCTCACTGGTATCGAAACACCTTTGTGGGACCTATTTCAATTATTATTAGCAATTATAAATAGTGAACACATACTTTGCATCAGAACTACCAACAGGATTACTTTTAGTTTTAAAAACATATCTAAATGAAATACACAATACAGGTTGTCAAGGCCAGAGAGGATGTTCATGTAAGTTCATCAGGATTCAAGAGAACCAAAATTGTTTTTGTTCATTAGGTTCCCAATGAAGTTTTAAAACCTGTCCTCAAGAAAAAGTAATCTTCCATGCTTACTATATCTAAAATTTTTTTTTGGCAGCGATGTAATATGATAAAAAATATCAATTGTTTGCTCTTTGTCGTGTAGTGAGATGCATTCTGAAATAATTCATCCTCTTAAGCATAGTTTGTGATTCCTGATTTTCATTTAAAAGATTTTCTGGCCAGCTTTCTCAGTTAAATTTCACAAAGATAAGGTTACATGAATGAATGTTAAAACTAATAAAGATGAACTATCAGGCTGTAATGATAAAGAAACAGTGCCCTAAAAGTTAAAATACATGATCTTTATGTATCACTTAATAACAATAGTTTTTTTTTTTTTTTTTTCAACAAGTCGGTCGTCTCCCACCGAGGCAGGGTGACCCAAAACAGAAAGAAAATAACAATAGTAAAAACATAATATAGTAAGTGTCCTAATTTTTTTTTTAGTTTGTTAAGCATGATAATGTCTTTTGGCATCTACGGAATACAATCAAGGTCAATAACACAATACAGTGGAATCTCAAAAATCGAACGTATCACATATTGAACGTTTCGAAAATAGGACCATTTTTTCGGACAATCTGTGTCCCTATTATCGAATGCGCCCCTATTTTCGGACCGCCGGGTACGGGACCTGTCTGCCGGCCCGCTCTGTCCACGTCCCCGTGCAGGTGCCGTGAGCAGTCTAGCTTTGTTTATGCTTGAGTGAACACTAACCTGTGCTCTCATTCACGCATTTTACGATTATTTCGTTGTGTTTAGTGCTTGTGGGACTGTGAAATAAGCTGCCATGGGCCCAAAGAAACTTGCTAGTGGTACCCCTGTGGTAAAGAAAGTGAGAAACACCATAGATGTGAAGAAGGAAATAATACAGAAGTATGAGAGTGGTGTGAGACTTGTTGAGCTTGCCAGGATGTATGGGAAAAACAAGTCGACCATCGGTTTTATCCTGTCAAAGAAAGAACAAATCAAGGAAGCTGATGTTGCGAAAGGTGTTAATACAGGGAGTGGATGAGGTGCCTTCTTCAAAGATTAAGGAGATTTGTGCCAAGTGGAATGATGTTCCTCATATACATCAATGATTTTCCAAACGTATCTCAACACCTGAACCCCATTCTCTTTGCTGATGACACGACTTATGTCATCTCTCACCCTAATCTTGCCACCCTCAACACCATTGTTAATGAGGAGCTGATCAAAATATCGACTTGGATGACAGCCAATAAACTTACGCTTAACACTGACAAAACCTACTACATTATGTTTGGTAGCAGAGCAGGAGATGCGCAAATTAACATTAAGATCGACAACACTCTAATTGCCAGGCATAATGAGGGCAAATTCCTAGGCCTATACCTCGACAACAACCTGAACTTCAGCACCCATATCCAACACATAACCAAAAAAGTATCCAAAACGGTTGGGATCCTCTCCAAGATACGATACTACGTGCCGCAAACTGCCCTTCTCACACTATACCATTCACTTATATATCCATACCTCACCTATGCTATATGTGCTTGGGGTTCAACTGCAGCAACACACTTAAAGCCAAAAATAACCCAACAAAAAGCCCCAGTAAGAATAATCACTAAATCCCATCCTTGGCAACACACCCCCCCCACTCTTCATAGATCTAAACTTACTCCCTGTTCAGTACATCCACACTTACTACTGTGCAATCTACATCTACAGGACCTTAAATTCCAATATTAACCTTGACCTAAAATGCTTTCTTGATAGTTGCGACAGAACCCACAGGCACAATACCAGACACAAACATCTCTATGACATTCCCCGTGTCCGACTAAACCTTTACAAAAATTCAATGTATGTCAAAGGCCCTAAAATCTGGAACACCCTACCTGAAAATTCTAAAACTGCAGACACATTCATCACCTTCAAAACTACCATCAGAAAACATCTTATCTCCCTGATACACCCTGTCAACTAATTACACGAATACCACCTGGTGGTTAACACTTACAATCACTCACCCATTTGACCATAAACAGAAATATCAATCTCAATCTCAAAATAATGAATCTTAACTAGTCATAAGTTGGCCTGTGATACTCCAATACTGAAACTATGTATAGTGCCAAAACAAAAGCATTCACATTGCTAAACTCACAAACTAGTATTTAGTCACTTAGCCATAATACCAACTTACCTCATAATTTTGTAATATTTTAAACTTAAGATTTAATTTAAGTCTGCCCGAAATGCCTAGCCATGCTAGGTGTTCTAGTGGTACACTCTGTAATTATTATTTTACTACATGTAAACAATACAATAACCAAATTCTGTAAACTCAGCATTGTAATCCTTATAGAGAATAAACTTTGAATTTGAAATGTTTGTGCAGAAGTACCACCCTGAGCAAGCTGAAACAACCCATCTTTCCAACAAGTTCAGTGACAGAACCATGTCCCATTTTAGGGAAATGTTAAAGAGGTGCCAGAAACAGAGGATTGTGGACAGTTATTTTGTGAGACAGGGGTCCAGTGACTCTCAAGCTGGTCCTAGTGGCATTAAAAGACACAGAAGGGAAGTAACCCCAGAGAGGGCTTTACCTGAAGTCCTCATGGAGGGGGATTCCCCTTCCAACCACTAACCCCAACTCCCTCTCTACTCCTCCCTATCTTCCAGATGCCATCACCAATCTTCAATAAAGGTAAGTAAAAATGTTATTTTCTATGTATTACTATACATAATTAAAAACTATAGTATTTGTTGTATGTAAAACTGTAATTAATCTCTATAAAATGCATTTTTTGTGTGAATATTTTTGGGTTTCTGGAACGGATTAATTGTATTTCCATTATTTCTAATGGGAAATATTGCTTCGAATTTCAGACTTTTCAAATTTAGAACTAGCTCCTGGAACGGATTAAGTTCGATTTTTGAGGTTCCACTGAATATTATCTCAGATCCATTATTTTTGCCTGTACTTGTATTTAGAATAGGTACTCCATTCCTGATCATTATAGGTGGTATTACATCCATTGGGGGTAGTTGTCTCCAGAGTATTACTTTTTCTATAGCAGTGTCTTGTTTCCCAGCTTCAGCTACCTGTAAAATGTAAAAATTAATCAACTGGCTTTGCAGTTCAATGTAGAAAGCCTCGCAAAGCAAATAGCATACCGATTTTTCTACTTTTGCAGATTTCCTGACATAATCTCCGCTTTTTTATGGAACAGCAATAAATAAGGATTGAGAAAAGTACCGACTGTGAAGAAAAATTACAGTAGTCTTCAGGCTTATACTGAACCAAAATACTAGTAAAATGAGTATTGTTTAATTGCCTAAAAGGCAAGATTAGTCATAGCCATTGCTCTTTCCAGCATATTCCAGGTTTGTCTCATCATCAGAATTATCAAGCAGGTGGTCTTCAGCATCTCCCACCAGTATGTTAACCACAAATTGGCAGGACAATGTCACTGTTACACCACAAAAGGCTCTCCTTTGTCCTTCCAACCATGTCCCTCCCATGGTTTAGGTATCTCAAAAACAAGAATATTGGCAATTTCCAGATTCTTATTTGGTAGTTTGTTCTTAAAATATGTTCCTTAAGGCAAGCTTTGCTAGGTGGTAATCCAGATAGGTCCATGGTGCTCTATATTAGACTATCCAGTTACAACTATCTCATTTGGACTTCACCTCATCAACACTTACATTTTCCCTTTCCATAAACAGCCCAAGTGAAATTCTCACATCTGCAAGAGCTTATCACACCTCGCACTGCTTCCAGATTCCTCTATTACAGATTTATATATGCTCCAAATCAAACTATTTTGTTCTGTCCTCTCTAAATGTCCGAACTGCCTCAACAACCCCTCCTCAGCCCTCAGAATAATACTTTTAATAACTCTGCACCTCTTTCTAATCTCCAGGCTACAAATTCTCTAAATAATATTCATACACATTGCCCTCAGACATGATATCATTCCTCCATCCTCCTCCTCACTGCAGCATTCACAACCTATGCTTTACACCCATACATTCTCCTTCTTGCCTCCATGGATAATGTTCTTTGTCTCCACAGATACCTCAATGCACACTCGCCTTTTATCCTTGTCAATTCCATTGTACACATTGTCTTTTATAGACCCTTCTGTGAACAGGTCCCACCCCCAATATCTCAGCACATACACTTCCTTCATACCCCCTCCCTCCACCCTGATATCCAATCTTTCATTACCTAAACTTTTTGGTATCCTCATCACCTTGGTCTTTCCTAATACAGTGGACCCCCAGTAATCGATGGCATCGGTATTCGATAAATCTGGTATTCGATGCATTATATCACAAAAATTTTGCCTCGGTATCCGAT